TCCCAGCATAAAAAATGTTGAACCACTTTCCAGAGTATTGGAACCAGTTATGGTGAGCAAATTTTTATATTTTTATTTTATTTTTATTTTTAATTAAAATTGTAATGAATACATAATATTAAATATAAAATTATTAAAATAAAAAATATTAAAAATAATTTATTATTTTATATTTGTCATACAATTTTTATACGTTATTAGAGTTTTTATAAATATATATATTTTTTTTTATTTAGGTCAAACATTTAGATATAGATTCTCCAAAAGAGATGAGACGAGAAAAAAATCATTTTGATGTTTATAGAGATGATGAAGATAAATTTTTTGCGCGAACTTCAAGTGCAATTAAAGATCCTGGAGTTGTAGGTCCTATAGTTTGGAATCTTCGAAAACAAAACTTATCTGCTGAAAGTATGATTCTTTTTAATTTATTTATTGATAATATTTTTTATAATTTAATTTAATTTAATTAAATATAATTTTTATTACGCTATTATTATTATAGCTATTATTATAGCTTTGTTTTTAATATATTTTTATATATTTTTATATATTTTAAGTACATTAGAAATTGATATAAAAGTGAATTTCAAATTTATATTATTTTATTTTATTTATATAATTTATTCGTACTTGTTTTTACGTTTTAAAATTAATTTTTAAATAATTTTTAATAATTTCTTAGTAATATATATATATAATAATAATATTTCTTTGATATAATTTCAGGTAATAGTACATTAGGAACAGAAATTGATTCAAGTTACATAATATCATCTGGACCTGTAGGAAAAGCAAGAAAAAGACTTCACGAACTTCTTGAAGATTCTTTTAGTCTTTTTGGAAGTAGAGATCAAAAATCAGATGTACAATTATATACCACACAATTGACTTCAATAGAACATATACCAGACACTTTTACAATATTTTCAGAAACTAAAGAAAGATCTACTCATGCAAGGTAATTTAAATTGTAATTATTTTTTAAATATTTTCCATTAAATCATTAATAAATAAAAATAAATTTGTATTTATGTATTGTAAATTTGATAAAGGAAATTTATTTATTCGATTAATTATATAATATATATTATATAAATATAGAATAAATATTTCGATTTTTTTTCTTGGAATGCAATTTATAATATTATGTCTATAGATACATAATAATATATTTTTTGTTATTATTATTATAATTATTATAATTATTTATTTATTATATTTATATTTAAATTTTAAAATACTATATAATTTCTTTTTATAATATATAGTAATTTTTATTCAATATAAACATTATTATATTATAATATTTTAATATTTTTTTAGTCCTGTATCTTCATCATTAACAGAAATGCATACTCGACCTCGTACATCATTACTACTAAAATATAATACGATAGATAACGATAGAATTGCTGAAAATGGACATTTTGTACCATCTCGCAATAATTGGGGTTCCAGACCATTAAGTGCTGGTCCATTTCATAAACCTAATTTACCGATTGTAAATTCGAGACGTATACTAACAGATTGTCAACTTCCACAAGAAGATCCAGCAGTACCATTAATAGTTTCAATTAAAAAAGAACTTGAAAAATTTTCTTCGCAATAAACAATCAAAAAATTATGATATTAAGCAATAAAAAGTATTAAAAACTGAAGTACAATTGAATGTTATAATAATTTAAAGATACAATTGAAGAAAACTATTAAAGAGATTAAGTAGTAAGTATAATAAGTATAATTTCAATTATATTTCTATTTTTATTTTTTACAAAGATTAATATTATTGAAAATATTTTAATAAAAAATTATTATTATATGATTTTTTTATATTGAAAATGATTATATGATAAGATTTTCTTGATTATAATTAAAAGAAATTATTTATTAATTATTAGTATAAAAATATCACATAACAGAAACTATATAGTTTCTATAAGTAATTAATATTTATATATATTTATAATATTATAATATGGGAAAAAGACATATAAAAATCAGTATTTAAAATTGCATTTGTAAGAATTGTAAATATTTAACAAAATTTTATATGTACAATCAATGTTTGTATAATGTTTCCATATAATGTATATAACATGATATATTGAAACTTATTAATATTGAATTCATTGAAATGATATATACAAATACAGTGTGACTTTTATTAGCAATTTAGTCGATTTTTTCTATAAAACTTATATTAAATTATTACAATTGAATATAGAAAGACTGCCAAAATTAAAAAAAAATTTTTTTTAAATATTTTTTTACATATTTTTTTATATTATTCAAATAATATATTTGAATAAACAAAAATTGTTACATTCTTATTATTATTATCATAAGTTACTATTAAATCATTTACTTATTTGTTAATTAATATATTTTTCAATTTATCGTTGTACATATTATAAAATTAGTTTAAATTAATTATATTGTTATACTATTGTATACTAATTTATATTATTGTAATTATATTATTTATAATTGTTCAATATAAATTATTTACTTCTTATTAAGAATTATTTAAATTTTATGTTATAAATCTTATAAATAAAAAATTTGTATAATTAGTTTTTAAAAAATTGTATAATTAGTTCCGTCCAAAATAAGAATTTTAAATACGATGTATATTTCAATAATCAGAAACAAATAAATTATTGATATTTTTATTTTTGTACATTCGAGGAACATACATGAATTCCGTCATTTTATTTTATTAATTCTTAAAAATATTTATAAATTTTTTATCATATTTTTAATATTTCAATAAATCGATTATTATTGCAAAAATCTTTGTACGTATGTTCATATTGAAGCTTAAGAATAGGATATTTTTTTGTAAAAAATTGTATATATTCAGGATGAGTTGTATCAACTTCTAAAAACAATCGTCCTCCTGGTTTTAAAGCAATAGCAGCATATTTTAATAAAGGTTTAATAACTTTTAAACCGTCATCTCCCCCATCAAGTGCCGTTAAATCTTCGTAACTAAAGAATAAAAGTAAGATTATAAAATATACAATTTTATAATTATAAATATAAAATAAATAAATTATATAAAAAATAAAAAATAATTTAATTACATTTTAATTTCAGGTATTAATGTAGATATTTGTTTAGTTGGTATATAAGGTGGGTTACTAACTATAAAATCAAAAGTTTTAGAATTCAAATCAAGATTTTTAGATTCATTTAATACATTCGAAATTTCTATCGATCCATTATCTTTAAGAGTTGCATGTACAACATTGATTCGATCTTTTAAATCTAATTTATCTCGATTTTTTTTAGTTAATTCGCATGCTTCTGGATTTGAATCAATTGCTATACAATTAACCTACAAAATAATTTTATGATATATAATAGAATTTTTACTATACATTATAAGAAATTATTTTCAATCAAATAAATATATGATTATGTTAATGATCTATTATAATAATTACTGTTTTATTAGTATGTGCAATAGCAAGAGATATGGCTCCAGAACCACATCCAATTTCTAAAATTTCCTGTTTATTATTATCAGAAGACTTTAAAGCTTTTAAAATATAATGGACTAATATTTCAGTTTCTGGTCGCGGAATAAAAATTGGCGGAACTAATTTCAAAGTAATATCACAAAAATCCCATTCTCCTATTATATATTGAACTGGCATTCTGTAAAGATTTAATTTTATCAAAAAAATAATATACAATAAATTTTATAGAAATAATAATTGTAACAATCAAATTTTTACCTGGATAACCTACATTCACACAATGAATCTAGCGTATCGCGCTGAACTGACGTAAGTCGTTCATTTTTTATATCTACAAGATCTAATATCTGAAAATAATTTAGTTTAACTATAATTTTATTTTAAAACTGAAAGTAAACTAACATATTTTTTATTTTATTTTTATAACAAATAATAAATAAAACAATGATTATATTTATTTAATATTATATTGTATTTAATTATATTTGCTATATTTCTCATATATTACTTCATTTCATAACATTGAATAGTAATAATTATTAAATCATTAAAAATCATGCAAAGATTTAATATTTTAATATAATTATAATATTTTTAATGGCAAAAAAACTATATAAGTAAAAAATTAAAATTATATTACAAAATATTTAATGCTTACAATAGTAATAATGGTGATACCTTGTTAGTGCCTATGACGTGCGCAACAATGTGCTCAATCGATTCTACGGGTTCTGGAATATGTTCATTCTTAAACCGGTTACTCCATTGTTCGATAATTTCACCGATAGTAGGACATTGTACATTTATTGTGGATAGATTTCGTGCTGATCGATTAAATGTGGTTATTTTAGCTTTACTATATTGTACATATGCTTCTACACTTAAAATACTGAAGAAAAATCGAGTACTTGAAAGACAGCGAAACATTATGTTTCATACAAAATAATTTATTACACTTTTAATCAAAAATTATTACACATAATGTGTATATGTGACATATAAAATACTTAAATACATATTCTTTCTATTTATTAAACTCACAATTCTTAACTTTCTGCTAAATTCTAGTATGTGCTGCCAGCTGTTGAGAAATACATTTGATTATTTTCACTTACAATATAATGTCGATCGTGCAGAGAAAAATTGAGAAGAAGCAATTAAATATTTTATGGGGCAAGTAAATTATTATTATCAACTTATTTAATTATAAATATTTATATAATACATATTTTAATACGAAAATTCATTACATAAAATATATGGTTTCCAAAAACAATATAAAATAAAAATGTATTCTGCATGTTTAAATAATCTAGTTTATAATTATAATTTAAAATATAATTATTTTATAATTATTTCTTTGCTTTTTTTTATATAATATTATCTTTTTAAATTAATAATTATATAGCTTTAATTTTTTTAATTTCAAAACATCGTTCATTTTGTGTTCAGTCGATAACGTATTATCGATTAGTGGCGCATGCGCAAAAATATGTAATGGAAAGAAGAATACGAGTCTATACCATCATTCAGTTTAAGACGCCAGCAGTCGCCACCGGTTCAACTTGTAACTTGCAACATAGTCTGCCATGACAGTCATCGGTGTCACACGAGTGCACCGTTAAACTTTTATCTATTATTGACTGTATCTTTTTGACAAAGGAAACAATCCAATGACCTAAGTTGTTATACGTTCTGATAACACATCGTATGATCGTTTTGGAGCGACGGTACAATTACAATAAGCAATTAAGATACAGAATTATATTACACGCGTCTTCGGTCTAGTGAATGGCGGCGAGTGGTGTGGTGTCGGTGTTGTGACGTGTGTCTCGTGCCGTGTTGACTGTCAGTTTTGTCATGTATCAAAAATCGCATCATTTCTAGGTCTCGTGTGACATTATTGATCGTATTTATGGTTTGCATAATTGTGTCTCGAAGGATGAAATATATATGCTGTTGTAACATTTAACATTCCTTTTCATTACTGTATGGCATTTATTTACGAGCAAAAGTTTACCATTGCCTAAAAAGTGCGAGAGTAAGGTGTGGTGAAAAATGACATGTAGATTCTCATTGCTCTTTCATTCCTGCTTCTCTTTCTCCTTTCCAATCTTTTCCCCTTCCTCTTTGTTCTAGGCACGCGTATTCCTATTCTTCTCTTCCTTCATCCATTCTTCACCCATCCGTATACCGGCAACTTGAAAGCCTTGCGAAGGTAAAAGTTCGCTGTCACGCGCGATTGTCACGGTATTGTTTTCACACAGAACGATACTTTCCGTGATGAAGTAATGAAGAAAAAATTTAATACGATCAACATAAAGGAAGATTATTAAAGTGCATAAAATTGTGTTTTTAATCAATTATCTTGCATTGTATATAGAAGAACATTTTCAACTCGTTTTAATTGAGAAGAAAATTATTTTCATAAATAATCATCTGTTCATAAAAAGACGCATGAAATAGAAGAAATGGAAGAATCTTAGAAAAAATTTAGTTTTGAAATATCTTATTGGGATTGAATGCCGGAAACGACCGGCCATGAAGAAACAGTTTGCTCTGGTAGGTTCACGCCCCTATACGCGTCACATCTTGCTATATCGTCAATCATCGACTGAAAATCTATCAATGTATATAGTGTTTCGTGATTTGTGTTGCGTGAAAACCTAGTGTTGGAAATTAATCGGAGTAATGCGTGTCTTTTATTCATTGTGTTTCAAAGTGAGAATATATTGAAGTGTGTTGAAACGTGCCTCGTATTGTATCGTAAAATAACGGGGTATCGAAAGTGACGTATCGTTTACTCGGAATTCATTCGTGACAGGGAATTTCCTGTTACCGATTTGCACTCGCTTGGCGCGTACGCAACATTGCGCGAGCGTGCACGCCCCTTCCCTTCTCATCGTGTTTTTAGTGATCGTGTAGCCGTCGTAGGGGAGTGATTTTGTTGGTTGTTTAGTGTTTGCACGTAACGACAGTGTGACCAAGCATATATAGTCGTTTCGATGGACAGTGTCGTGTTATACGTGTGGGGCCAACCGAAATACGCGTCTGCGCGTAAAACTATATACGCGCGAATAATCAAAAGAGAAGAGATATCTTGTATTATCTCTTTCTCACATTCGACTCAAGATTGGTGCTGTGAATGAGAAAATGTTTAACTTTATGAAGAAGGCTACGGAGAAGGACGACAAGGAGAAGCGGAAGCGCGAGAAGAAAGAACGAAAAGATGTCAAGAAACGAGATCGCAGTAGTATGTCCGCTGAGGAATTACTACGTTTAGATGAAGTACGTGTTTTCTTTTTTATTTCTTTTATAATATTAATCGAATTAAAAAATAGATATAATAGATCAATAAATAATTTTTTTATTCCTAAGAATTTTTTTCATATATAAAATATACATAGTCTATGTTATAACGTTTATCTCGTTTATTAGATTAAAAAATTATTGAAATACTAGGCTGGAAAAATTGAGTATTGATCTTTACGTACATATTGATACATTTTTTTCGTCTTGCTTATCAACAACAATGTGTATATATATACAGATAAGTAGATTTGTCAAGTTTGACTCATCATGGATAAGCTTTAGATTTATGAATCTACTTTTCTGGATTCAAACATTTTTAAACAAATTGTTTTAAAATAGAAATAGATGAACGATAGAATTCAATAATAACGAAATATTTTAATTGCAAACAAAGATTTAATCGATTTATTAATGTTTTAAAGTAATTATAGTTTTTCTTAATTTAATCATACATTAAAATATATTTTATATATATATTTCATATATTTTTCATTATTATTATCTTTATAATTACTAGCGATTTCAAATCTAATTGATTAAATTTATTTTGAGAAATATATTTAAAGAGAATATAATAAGAAACAATATCTAGGCATTTTTTTAATAATTATTGGATAAATATATAAATTTAAACTATAATAATTCTTTTATAATAATATTTATGAAATCATATTTTAAAAACGAAATATTGTTAGATATTGTTAGAAATATTGTTAGATATTGTTAGATATATAAATGATTTATTAAAAAAATGTTTTGAAAAATTATCTTATAATATTATAAAGTTTTATTATAAAGTTTAATAATTTTTACTAGTACAGTGATACAATATAATAGCATTTATCTGTATTTATTTAATTAGCATGCATAATATTGTATATATTTAATAATGGAAAATAGGTACATAAATACTTACTAATGAAATATAAACAAATTATCGCGCATAAATTTGACTCTATTAATGTACAGTTTTGTCAATCAAATTAAGAATAGTTAATATATTCAAGAAATTTAATCCATTTAGAAAGAAAATAAAAAAAATATAGATATAATTCTTATTATAGCTTAGGACTTTTTTTCATTTTTATATTCCTTTAATTTTTTCTCCTATGTTGATATAATTTTTTTATAATTAATTATTTTTTATTTCTATTATTATTTTATTCAGAAAAATATTTTGTATTGTGCATAATAATAAATATCATGATAAATCGTGCATTGTAATTTGTTTATTGTAGAAAAATATGGTAATAGTACAATAATAATAATTTTGTAATTAAAGAGGAAATATAAATGCTTCATCAGCAAGTAGTGGAACTCAAGTGAAAATATTGTAACATTAAATTTAATTTTTAATTGATGATGATTAAACTATTCAGAATCTCAATATTTATAGTAAAAAATATGAAATTATATTTCTTTATACATAAATATATTAATAATTATATAAATATACATAATAATTATTATATTATATACATAATTATTATATATACATAATTTACATATATACATAATGATTATATCTTTTATAAAATATATACACATAATTTATACATATATTATACATATAATTATTATATCTTTCATAAAATAGTTTTACATAAAATGTTGAACATATAATGAATCTTTAATATTTTTTTTAATGTAAGTTGTAAGATATTTCCTATTGTATTTTTATATAGCTATATTTTATATATTATATATTTTATATATTATATAGCTATATTAAAATAAATAAGTACTGAAGTTTTCATTGTAATATTTTTAATATAAATAATTGTGAATAAAAATGATTGTGACAATCTCTTGAGAATCACAATCCATAGATTAGAAGATACTGAGTCAGATTAAGTATTAAATGCAAACAATTGAAAATTATTTGATCACAAAACAATAAAGATTATTATTATTTCAATTATTAAATTTTTGCTATGTTTCTAAATCCATGACGATTTATTTTTTTTAGAGTCTTATTTATTTATTATTATTACAAAGTTCTATTATCCATATATAAAAATTTATTCAAAAATTATTTTAATTGGTTGATTTTTATACACAAATCTATAATTTCATCTTCTATATTTTTTTAAAACTATATTTCAGTTTATATTTCTTTTTCTAATAAATAATGATATTAATATTAAATTATTTGATGAGTTTTGTGAAATTTACAAAATTCTCAATTTCTTGCTTTGTTATATAATATATACATAAAAAAATATAATGATATTCAAAAATTTTATGTTATATTTTTATGATTAAAAAAATTCTTTGATATTTCTCTTAAAATCGTATAAATTTACAAAATTTAAAAAAAAATTTCGGATAAGTTTCTTGAATTTTAAAATAAATAAATTAATATAAATATAATAACAAAATATATCTATTTTATTTTACAGGTTCGAAGATCATTGAAGATTCCTGGTCGGCGGAAGGAGAAAGAAAAGTTACCGAGTGGTATTACTGCGGACTATAGTGCTTCATTTTTCGCGTATCTAGATCGTGATCTCTTGGAAAATTCGCAAAACTCATCGAGTTCAGGCCAAAGTGTTCGTGCCGGTAATAATTGGTCCAATAGGACGCCAGATGGTTTAACGCAAAGCGATTCATCAGAAACTTCCTTGACTTCTTTGACCATTACGACAACTATCTCTTCAGTTACACCGACGAACGTGTCTGGTCAATCGGGAAAAAATTTGCCACCACTGCCACCAAAACCTCCGAAACGAGGAATTCTTAAGGGACCACGTTTAAGCGTCAGCACTGTGAATTCATTATCGGAAGAAAATCAATTGCCAAACGGAAACGAGACCAATTATCAGGAGGCTAGCAATCTATTGGTCAGAAATACTTTGCAGAACGAGGTGATTGCGTATCAAAACGTGCCCACTCATTTATCAGGATTTGGGAACACTTGTAACAAAGAAGAAGCTTGTAGCGAAGAGGAGACACAAATTGGACAGAGTTCGTGGCAAGTGTCGCCTCAGCGAACATCCCAGCAGACTCAACAACATCAACAACAAAATCAGCAACAGCATCATCATCATCATCATCATCATCATCATCATCATCATCAAAGCGACACCAAATTGCTGCAGGTTAGTTAGAAAAAATTAATTGATTTTAAAAGATATTTGTAATGTTTCAGACATTCATAAATTTTTTAATTAAATTAAATTTTTAAATTAATAAATTAATTCTTCAAATTAAATTTTAAGATTTTTTTAAATAAATAAATTGTCAATTAATTAAATATACATTTTTCATTTCTTGATTAAAATAATTTTCTATTTTTACTTCAATATTACAATAATGTAACATATTCTGATGATTCAATTATATGAGATAGGATTAGGAGAGAGAAGTATTTATGAAATTAGATTATAAAATTCTATATCAGATATTGAGTTGTATTTATAAATAGTTAAGTGAAATAATAGTTAGTTCAAATATTATCAAATGAATTATTGTAGTATAAAACTAATATATAACTCAAAAGCAAAAATCAACATATATTTATATGAAGTGTTTTTATTGATTTCATATGTTAAATACATTTTTGAAGCGGTTCACATGTGTAGGATAATTTGTATGTATTTATCAATGTTCTCGTTTTTCTTTTTCCGTTTATTCGTTGATCTTTTATGTTTAAATTTATTTTTTTATTATTTAGAGTTTCATATCGTTAGCATATATCTTTCTTTTCTTTTTATATTCTTATGAAAAGAAACTACAACCATATGTTTGCTGTTGAACTAAAAACTAGTCTTTGAATTCTGATTTTGACTACATTTACATATAAAATTCATTCAGAATTTATTGAATTGATTAACGTTGATGTAGTTCGAAAAATTAATAATTAACAATAAAAACATATTTTTTATAAGATGTTTTTCTAAGAAGATATAATTTATTAAAATTTGAATTCTGTATCACTGGAAAAGAATATATTTATTATTTATTTATTATTAATATAAAGATATCCATTATTAATTTCATTATCAAAATATTCTTTCATCTTTTGCAGGTGGTGACCAGTGCAAGTCCCTCCGCAGATTCTCTAACAGATACAACGAATTCCAGTTTCGCTACACCACCTTTCAGTCTGTCGCCTGTAGGAGAATCTCAGGGTTTATCAAGGTGGCGATCCTCGGCATCTTTCGAAGAGCAAGGGGTCGAGCTGCAGTTACCAGAAATTGTTCCTCTGGAATTGCCTGAACCTCGGGAGCTAACGATTCAGAGGCAACCACCGCCGCGAAATGATTTCGGTTTCTCATTACGCCGAGCTGTGATCGTGGAACGAGCCGCAAATGGTGTCACCCAGATGAGACCGGTGATCTTCGCTGAGCCCGGTTCGTTGATACAACATAACAACGACACCGGTTTGCTACCAGGTGATAGATTGATTGAAGTCAATGGAATTAACGTTGATGACAAATCACGCGAGGAAATCATTGATCTTATTAAAGGCTCCGTTAACAGCGTTGCTGTAAAGGTAAGTTAAAAAAATATAAAAAGTTACAATATTAAAGCTACAACAAATATATCATATGTAAATGTCATATTTATTATGACATTTACATATTAAGTACTAATAGTGCTTTCTTGATTAGTTAAATTTTCTATTATGATAATAAAATATATATATAAATGTGATAGAAAAATATTTCATTAAAAAATAACGATATATGCAAATACTTTTTTTTTATATTGTGTATATAATGATCTTAATTATTTGTGATTCCGATTAAAGATTTTGATCGTGGTCGTATTTCGTAAATATAATACAATTTTAATAATTTGAAATATATTATTAAGGTCAATAAGTTAATATTTTATATATTTAATTCGATATTTGATTTTAATTTTTGAAAAATATTTTTAATTCTTTAATATTATGTTTTTTTAAATTTAACAGGTTTGGATTACATTTAGGTTAGGTTAGATTTATAATATTTAAAATATATTCTATTGCAGAATTTAATCGTTGAAATTTTAAAATTGGTAAAAATTTTAAAAATCAAAGATAAATATTATAAATATCAATTATTGATCATTTGTGATCATATTTCGTATATATATGAATATAAAATCGAGTTATCGTGGTTAGAAAACATCGACCTGAATATAGACAAAGATAAGGTCGACTATCGATTTGTCAAAAAGATCATTATTATATATATATATATATATTACAATTATAATTATACGTATACAAATAATAAAAATTAAATATTGAATTTTGGAAGCATTGATTGAGGTTAATGCCGAACTATTAAAAAAATTTATAGTGTCTTAAAAAGGAATAAAAGAAAATGCACCATCATGATTTTCTAGTTTTATCGAGTGAATATTCAAGAGTTTAAAAAAATTTATGAAACAAATTTTATGATTGTGAAATATCTATTTTCTCCTTTTTTAAATACATATTAGTTTTATTTATTCAATGCTATTTAAAAGAATATTAAATTATATTTAATTTAGGTTAGGTTCATCTTAGCTTATAAAAAATTTGTTTTTTAAGAAATTGACCATGATTTTTCACGTTTCACCATATTCATTGTTTACGTTTCATTTTATATTTTTAATATTTCATAAGATTTAAGATTAGGTTTAGGTTATTTTCGTTGATCATATTCTAATAAAATGATTGGCTTTAACAATTAAATGAAATTTTATTTGGATTAGATATAAATTAGATTTATACAAATATATATATATATGTGATGTTTATAAAAATTTGTAAAGCTATTTATTATATGTTTTAAATATGCTTAAATATTATTGCGTTTGCAGATATAATTTATTCAAATTTAAAATTATATTACAAAGCAAATTTTAAATAATTTTGATATATAAATTCTAAAATTCTTTATTTTATTTAAAAATACAAACCAAATGATAAAAAATAACAGGTTCAGTACCATTTCAACGTCTTGTTCCCTTAGACTTTACATGAGGACTCGATAGTGTTGCCGGTAAAAGTGAGAGCGTTTATAGGTACGCTTGGTCGGTTCGAAAGGTGATCGGTATACGGAACAGCGAAACCGGTGTTTCCCGCCCGATGACTGTTGGTTCATTGCCACTGGTGCACCGAATATAGCGGGATCGTGACTCATGGTCCATAATAAAACTATACTTGGATCAGGAGAGTTGCGTGAAAATAACTTCTTACCGTAAGATTCAACCGATAATCTTCCATTAGTCGTTTAATACGACAGTTGGTTAAAAATTGAAAGAATCAAATATATTTTCTCCATTAGAATTTTTATGTCTTCTATTGTTATATTTGGATTTTCAAAATTATACATTTAGATTCGTCCATATAAACTTGAAATATGATTATTGTATATCTTCAGTGTCTACAGCCGGTAAACGGGTTTTCTTTTTATTGGTTTTCTTGTGATTCATTGAAGACTAGAGATCTGTCTAACTTGATTTTTAAATTCGCGAAACTGAAGTCTCAAATCTTAAAACATAGAATATTTATTTTATTTTTTTTTTTCTAAGAATGATTTTTTTTAGTTAAAGTTTTAATGAATTTTGATTTCTGGAATTCTTTAAATTTCGTAATTAATAATAAAAATAGTTATCTTTCAAAAAATAGTTCATAGGAAATTAAATTTTGTTATTTTCGTTATTATAAATTTATGATTGATATTATGAAGACATAATTTATTCCATAATTTATTAATAATCTCTTTTTGGAATTCTTCTTCTGAAATTAATTTTTTTTTATCATTTATATTGAAACTTTAAAAATCGATATTAATAAAAGAAAAGAAAAATGTAAATATTAAAAGATAATAATAGCTATGTAAAAATCAATAAATTCTCATCTATAAACATTCTTTAGATTAGTAGAAAGTTATGAAAAGTAAATATAGAAATTTTCATAAATTTTCATAATAGTATAGGAAAGTATAGAAAAGTTAAAATTATACGATAGAGTTTTTTACAAAATTAAATATGATTTAATATGAATTCAATATGATTAATTTTAATTCTAACAATGGGAATTCTTTTTCTAATACAAAACGATATTGGCATAATAATAAATACAGTTTATTTCATATATTCATTTTATATTTCATTAATAATTAATTCTTATCTTCTGAATTATTCATCATTCCACCATAGATAAACTTATCGAAAATGCGAATTATTAGTTTATGTAAGAATTAAATGAATTGTTCTCTTTTTGTTACCAAACAAGATTATTTAATTTGATCAATTAACAAGAAACTTCCGCAAAAATATCAATGTTAATTTATTTAATGAATTAGTACGAAGCTTTTAATTTTACTTGTAAACATGAACATTTTTTGAAGCATTACAAAAAATAAATTTCTCTAATTTAAATTAGAGAAATCTAATTAATATAATTGCTATAAATAAAAATATTTTAGAATTATATTTGTTTCATTTTTAATAAAAAATTATACAAATAAATTCCAATAATAATCTTTTCTGTCTTTTGAACTTTTTTTTAAATATGTTTTCTTATAATTTTCTTAAATTATGTAAAAGTAAATTTTTTATTACAAAAAATAAATATTATATAAGATTAATTAAACTTTTAATGTTTTGCAATCACTTATAAATTTTCTGAGCAAAAAGTCAAATATTTAAAAATTTAATTTTAATTTAAAATTTAATTATTTTAAAATAATTAAAACGTATCCTACATATAAATTGTATAATATTTACTTACATAATTTTCATGAAATCTTTACACGCAATTTTCATATAATGTTTGTATAATTTATTAATTATTAATACATATATATATATTCATTTAACGTAACTTTCCATCTTCTTCCTATGATTTGATAAAAAGATAATTTATAAGCAATCGAGTTTCTAATATATTAATCCATTCAATTACATTAGCACAATATTTAATTTATAATTTTTCTTTAAATCATATTTATAATTGTATAACATTTATAATATTTCTTGTAAAACATCGATTTAAAAAGAAGAGAAAAAAAAACCGAATTTGCGAAGTCGAAATTGGAATACCATTCGATCTTGTGTTATAGCAGTGAAATGCCAAAAATGTTGAGACGTCCTTGTTACAAGAATGGAAAATATGAGCATGTCATTTATTCATTTTATTCTCATATACTGAGCATTATGTATATAAATAGGGACTAAAATAATTTACTGTGCCATGCATCTGTTACTTATAAATTTAAGTTGGCTAAAAAAAAGAATAAATTAGAATTTAATGTAAATTTTCTTTTGTTATTTTTTAGAATATACATTTTTGGATTGTGCATTTTATATATTATATAGAGCGTCTCAGTTCTACTATATATTGCTAGTATATTTTAAAAATAATTATTTCGATTCGTGGTACTTTCTTATGGATTTGAATGTGATTTTTAAAAAAGTTTTATAAAATCTTCATCCAATGTAAAAAAAATATATTATTTAAACAAATTATATCATTTTATTTAGCTTTGCCATTAGAACATTCCTTGTAAACTTAAAAGAAGGATATAACGATTAGACTTGAAGCTCCGCTATTCAGGATCCATATCCTGATTTTCCTTCTTGGTAAACGAAACGGTTTTAACAGAAAGAACATTACGTGATTTACATATTTATATTATCTATAATGAAGCTGCTTGCAGGTGTTCTCTCGGTCAACATCCTGTTTCCTGTGTTGTTAGGATAGACGGAAACCGCTTTAATCTTTGCGAGCGCGTGTATGCGGTTAGAAAGTAGATTCAAGCACCCGTTACATGGATGGTATCTATTAAGGCGCATACTCAATAGTAGCTCATTTAAGCTCTGTCTTCACTAAAACAATATTGAGCAACTTTTTATCGCCTCTTATTCCAAGAGAACAAACACCTATAGAAATATTTTCACATTGAATAACAATTTGAAAAATATTTGAGTTTCAGTTTGAATATATTTATTATTAAGAACAGATTGTCCACATGCAAATATAAATATTTGAAAAATGTTTATTCTATTATCACGATTTATTGCATATTTTTTTTTTATCTTCGAATAAAAATAAACAACAAAATTGATTTTTTAAAGATACATACAACTTCAATGAAAAATCGTTTTCTTGAAAATGTGGTTTTACTAAACAACGTTTGCAAACAATTTGCAATTTTTTCATGACAACCAATCGATTTTTTGATGAATATTATTTATTGATGCTGTTTTATTTTAAAAAATGAAGGAGGCAATATTTTAATCTTTGAAAATACATTCCATCAAAAATTTGTTCTAAAATTTTGGCGAAATGAAAAAAATGTTAAATATTGATATTTTTGGATTTTAAAATATTTTTTCTTTTATAAAAATATCTTTTTGAACAAAGAAGAAAATGTATCATTTGTGCACCGATTAGTCCATCAATGTTATCAAATGTTCGAATTGTTAGAATAGCACTGTGAATGTTGGAGATATTGGAGCCACCTAGACAAGAGACAATAGAAGCGAGAAAATATAATAACAAATGTGCATTAGAATGTAATCGAATACTTTGTTGTTTGCAGGTGCAACCAGTTGCAGAATTGTCGGAATTATCAAGACGCGGTGGTAGCGACGGACGTCAGGTTGAACTTGCGGCCGCGAATATTCGTGGCGGTACACTTCGTCGATCTGGTAGTTTGCGGTTTCATCAAAACATGGTGAGTATTTTTGTTTCCTATTTTAATCTTAGGATGAGATCATTTTTCAAAGAGATCTGAAAAATCTATCATCACAGAAAATATGTCGGTAATTATTTAGAATGTGATGCATTAATTGTTTCGGTATTTTTGAAATATGTTGTCAAAATCATTATTCTAGTCAATTTTTTACTATTATATCTACATATAATTTTATTTTATTTTTCGAAATGTAAATAAAAGTACTTTAAATTCTAAATATTCTTTTAAAATTTGAAATATATTTGGATTAGGTTTTGAACAAATTTAGGTTAGGTTTGAATTGTATTAGGTTATCTTGAATAGACAGATATGTGTTATTTTTTTTAATTCACTTTATTAATTAGCAATTAAATAAATTTGATCTTAATTTATTTGAAAATGAGTTGAAATTTAATTATTGAAATTAATTAAAATGTTATTCTATATTAATCTTATCTTGTCTCTTGGGTGCGAATATTATAAATTAAACATAAATTTAATTACCAAATGGCTACTATAAAATGACATTTATTTAGACAATAGTTATATATCGAAATATAAAAAGAATATTATATAAATGACAAATACAAAAGTACCGCAAATATAAAAGAAATGATAGCAAAACAATTAGGGGAGCGGAAAAAGTAAAAGACGCAATGGAATCAGTTAGTATTCATAATATAGTAGAGAAGGTATAACTGTAGAGAAAAAGACAATAGTAGAATGGTTTCCACCCACATTCCTTGTGGCAGAGCAGTGGCATAGTAATGGGTTAACGGTTTTCTACTGACTTGCTTATTCTATAATACTAACTTTCGGATGAAATGAAAAATAATTCTACAATAATAATGCAATTATACGATAATAAAGCTTTGTCATTTTTTAATATCGTAAATCAAGCAGTCATGATGATAGTTTTCAAATTATATTGGGTTATTCTATGTAAAATTATTATTTTTATGAAATCAGTGTATTTTTAAAACAATAATCTTTTTATATTTTAAAATATATGTTAATTTTCTCCATAAAAATTTAGGAATTGATATATTAAATTTTTGTAAAAATTCTTATTTAAAACATAGAAATTAATCAATATTACTTAATTTAGAAAAATCATTTCGGAACTTTGTAACTAGTTTTCTATAAAAATTTAAAGAATAGCAGAAAAAACTAAAAAAATTAAATTTTTTTCATAAAATATATAAAATAAATAAAAATGAAGAAAAAATTAATAAAAATATATTATACTGCAATAAATATAAGAAAATATTTACATTTAAGAAAATTTAACGAGGTTAAGATATTAAAGGATTTATAAAATCCTTAAAAATATAAATATAATAATTAGTTTATACATTTTGATATCTTTTACATTTTCTATATATTTTTTATATATTTTTCTTGTATATATTTACATAATTTGCTTGAATTAACTTTAATAATTAAAATTTGTTGAATTTCATTATTATAGAATTATTAAGTTATAGTTAATAAAATATTTCTCATTTTTTAATTTTATTAAAAAAAATACATATATTTATTATAAAATTTGTATATAAAATTATTAATAAAAATATTCTATTTAGTTTCATATATTGAGTAATACTGCAATAAAAGTAAGGTCAATAGATAATCTTTAACCTTTTAAATGGCAAGAAAGTAAAAGTAAATCGTTAGAATTTTCCCATAGGTGGATGATTTAAGTCTATTATTCATTTTTACTTTAAAATTTTTTTAATATTCATCATTGAATTTTATTTAAAAAAAAAATATTAATCATTTTTATCTCAATTTTCATTATTAAATTATTTTATATATTAATATAGGAAAATATTAATTCGAAATTAAATCCCTATTAAGTACCGATTATTATTTCTCTATTATTATTATTCTTTACTCTATAGATTATTATTTTTAAAAATTTTTACATTAATTAATTGAAAAATCTATAATATATTTTCATCAATTATTAATTATTTATTTAATATTATATTATTCAGTATGAATAAATAATTATATTAATTATATTTCATAAAAAAATAAAATTTATAATTTATATTTTTTTATAAATGTATACATATATTTATTATTAATTTATTCATAATCAAAAAAGGTTTGTGTCTTTACTAAAAACAAAAAATATTTGAATTATATATTA